CTCAATGCACATTCACATAATGGAACTATATATTGAAAAGGAATATTAAAAGATATGTGGAAATATTCATAAAAAATTAAATAAAAACTGTTATACTTGCCATCCAGTGGTGTGGTGGTTTAGGCAGCTGGATCCTACATGGCTTTGAGTCCCGGACCCAGTGGCTTGAAAAATAACCCACTGGGCATGTGTGTGTGTGTGTGTGTGTGTGTCTCAAATCCTGAGAGGTATCATCACACCGTCCCCACCCCACCCCCGGGGAGAGTAGTCTCGCTTTCCCTCTTTTTCTATAGTGAGTGCATCCACACCCCAGAAAATATTAAAAAAAAAATACTGCCACAAAACAGTATATATACTATGATTCCGATCTTTCTTAAATAATTGATTTATGGGTGAAAATGGGATCTACAAAATGTTAGGAATAAGTTATGAGAGGTAGGATTATAAGTATTTTAAAGTTTTTCTTTTCTAAACCTAATACAATTAACTTATCTTTTCTTTTTTTTTTTTTTAAGTTTTGTCATAGGGCATGTGCACTTACCAGAGAAAAATAAGAGAGAGGGAAAGTGAGAAATCAGCCCCCCAAGGGGGATGGCCATGCAACAATCCCCCTTCTCCTCCATTTTCCTTTTGGGATTTTGGGCACACACACACACATGCCCAGTGTGATTTTCAAGAAGCTGGTTCCAGGACTTGAACTACTGTCAGCCATATGGGAATCTAGCACCTTAACTACCACACCATCTGCTGGCCTCCAATTAATGTATGTTAAAATACAAAGTTATAATAAATAAATACAATATTTTAAAGAATTCTACAGGTAGAAATTGTGATTTTATTCACCACAACAAAAAAGCAAACATTTAAAGAAAGGTAAGTTTCTCCTAAGCAGTAGGTGATTTGTAAAACAGAAAAATGCATTTCTTGATTTTTTTTTCAACTTTCCTCCTTTTTCTCTTGTCCTTGTCCAAAATGTGAAAGTATGGGGAAGAAACGAACCTGGCTCTTTTCCTACAAGATGCTCACTCAATGTTGAGTCTTACAGTAAGGAAATTTCACATAGTTCAGGTTGCCCAGTACCAGAGCTCCTGGTCCTGCTAGGAATCTGTACCCTCTAATGGCTTTCATCTCCTGCTAGTCTTCTCTTGGGGGAGCAGCAAGAAAACTGGGGAAATCCCTGTCTTAATATCCTCTGTAGGAGTCTAAGTATCCCCGCGAGCAGTGAGCAGGAAAAGGGGGAGAGAGCAAGGCCAAGACTTTCCTACATTCTTACGATAAAAATATTTATAAGTGGTTAAAAACACTTTACCGTAACTGTTAAGAATAACAACTACTGTTTTCCAAAAGCTTTTTATGTGCTAGACACATACTACATTATCCTATCTAATTTTCTCATGGGTCATTTAGGTATTTTTCCCTACTTCACAAACAAAGATGTTGAGGCCAGGTCAAACAATCTGCCTAAGTTCCCAGGGCTTGAAAATGGCTGACATAAGACGCTTTACAAAATGCAAATTTTTCAATAATTGCCTCTGTTATTCTTTACAGTACTCTGATGAGATAGATGTCTCTAGTTTATAAAATGAAATGGTAGACGGCTTTAAGGGCCCTTCTGAGAATGCATGGTTGATCTCTAAGAGCATTTCCAGATTTTAGTTTTAGTAAGGGGCCCCTGTACTATGTCAATGGTGATGGCCAGACATGGGCGTGTTACCCTAAATCATAAGTGGCAAATTTTAATCTGATCCTAAAGAAGGTAGGGTATGGTGGAAGGATAGATACCAGTAGCAAACAATCAGTTTATGACTTGTCCTGACACTTTTTTTTGGAGAGGTTTTTGCTATAGGGTACGTGTGCTCACTAGAAAGACAGAGACAGACAAAGACAGACAGCAAGAAATCAGCCCCCGGGGGGATGGCCACACAGCAATCCCCTCTCCTTCATTCTCCTCTCGGGATCTTGGGCACTCATGCACACACGCCTGGCATGAGTTTAAGCCACCGAGTCTGGGACCGTAACGGCGGTCAACTACATGAGAGTCCAGCGACATAGCCATTTCACCATCTGCCGGTCTGTTCTGACACTGTTAAGATGAAGAGACAGACCTGTATGTGGGCTATAGGACCAACCCTTAAGTTTGTTGGAGAGAGGAAGCCAGTAGTTCTCCTAGGCCAGGAAAAGGCAGAACAGCCTAGGTTAGCAGATGATGTATGGATGCTTTGGTGGACCAGCGCAGGCCCCTTGGAAAAGGCTAGGGCTCTATGGACATAGTGAGATCTTGTTTTGGCCAGATATGTATGCTGTCATAAAATCAAACATTAGAAAGGTCATGAAAAAGACAATCTGTTTCTACTTCTTAAAGTGCCATATGGGTTAATATTGACGTTCCAATATATACACTTAATAGAAAGAAAGACAAAGAGACAACATGGCTATAATAGTTTATTTCTTTCTTATTTCTTATTTGGATGAAAAAGAGACTATATAAAATGTTGTTTGAAGAAAAGCAAACTGAGTTATTTTTTATGGTATCTATACTACTTTCTGTATCATAATTAATTTCCACATGACTGGTCTTAATATAAGTTAATTTTAAAATTAAGAATCTTGACTTGATACACAAGAGTGGGGTGGGGTGGGGAGTGGCAATAGGAGGAAGAAACATATTCCCAATATCATTAATTAGTAACCTTAGGTCATTATCTCAGTTCTTCTACCTAATAAGTAATTCTAAGCAAATCACTTAAGCTTCAGTTTTCTTACCTATATAAGGAGAGACTAGAGTTTACTTTGTAAGGCCTCATACTAAATCTTTGTAAGTCTAATATTCTTTGGAGTTCATTTTGGCTTAAATGGTTTTATGATCGATCATCTTTGTGAACTATGACTTCATTATATGAAAGTTCATAAGAAAGAGATTTGCCTGAACAGACCAGAATACAGGGTCCAGGATATGATACTGTCACACAGATATCTATGGAAAACAACCTTGCCATAGGACAATAGTTACTCCTGACATTGTTAGCCTCCCTGAGTATTTGTTTTACAAAGACCATGCTTGCTTCCAACTAAAATTTGCTTTTTAATTCTTACTTGAAAAGATCACCGATGAAATTGCTTCCATCTTTTATCAAAATCACTTACCCATATACCAGGTAGTCTTATGAATAATCTAAAAGGCAGATGATGTTTGATATTGCTATGGTTTTATGTGCTAGCTAGCATTGCAAGAGTATCCATAACCACAGTATAACGAAACCCACTGAACAGGTTTCTCCCAAGGCCAAAGTAAGTAACCCTAAATGTCAATTGCAATAAGACTCTACCGCTGGTAAACAGCTGCCTTTATCCTACAGAGTATGGGTGGTGGGTGCTTTGAGTATGGAGTTTCTATATTGCACTGTGATAGGAAAGTGCTCTCCTTACTTTGCCCTCATCAGGTATGAAATAAGAAAGGGGAAGTGTGCAAGTGTATACGAGTTGGAAGCTGCATTCTTGAGAGTCAAAACTGGCCGCTGCTTCCTCCACTTCTGACCTGCACTCCAGTTATCTTGCCACTTCAATACTGCCTAGGACAGCTTCTAGAAATCAAGAAGGGAGATTTCCCACGTGGTCAGGCAAACATACCATTCCTTACCAAGTTCTTGCCCACCCCAAAGTTCTGACATATATACTGCAGAACTGTGTGTGGTAGTTTCAGTCCTGCTTAGACACTTATAAGGCCATAGGCCAGTCTTCAGGTATTTTCACAGATTTCCCTTATTCGGTAATTGCGGTCTCTAAATCAATATTTCAACCCTCATTCCACTCTATCCTCCTCTTCTAGTCTGTACGCCTTTAGTACATTCCAGTCATCGCCTTTCTTCGCTATCCAAAATACTATCAGGGAATGGCCTACGAGGAATTCCTAACACAGCGATAAAAGAAAGTAAATGCCATAAATCGGGCATTTGAAAGATTTCGTCAATCGCCAAAGAAGAGTAAAACTACAAAAGAACTTTCTTCTGTGAGTACTGCCCGACTTCATCCCCAGGTCCTTCTACTCTCAGTAAATGAAACTTCACCTCATCTCTTCCGAAATATCGCCGACAGCTCTCGTCAATAGCAGGTGTTTCCCTTCTTACGCGAAACGCTCTGTAGATCTCCAAACCGCTGAACAACATCCCAGGCCTGAGGTTTCCCGGTAGCCCCGGCGACGCTCCAGGATTTGCTTCTCTACGACCCTGAGCCCGGACCCGCCTACTGGCGTCAAAGCCAGCTATTTACTGGTCCAGGCATACGCTCGTCTCTAAAATCAGCCAATCAAAACCTCCCTTCTCACTCCAGGGATTTAGGAAGCGGAAAAGACCTCGGTCAGCCCCGGGAGGAGGGCAGGGCCGAAAATGAGTGACAACACAATTCCCCAATAGGCAGAGGCCTAGGACCTGCCCCTTCTGGCTCCGGAGCTAGAAAAGAGCGCCGATGCCGGCGTTGCGATGAGTCCTGAGAGACGCTGGCTACCCTATGGCCCCGAGGCGCGGCTGTTGCTGGTAGCCTCTTTGCAGGTAAGTGGTTTGGTTTTAGAATATTACTCTTACGAGAATGTTTTCATTTTAAAATGATGTGGCGTTTATTTCAGTGGGCGGGGACAGCCAGTACCTTTACTCCTTCGGGTTTGTCGTTGGTGGTAGTCTGGTGCCCACTGCACCCCTCGAGCCGCGACCCCTACGTTTGCCCCCAGGTCTCTCTCTGCTGTCCCTCTTCCAGAATGAGCCTCTCAGGCAGAGTTGTGTCGCCTGAAAGAACCTTCCTTGGTAATGCTGTCTTGACCGCAAGAATAAAAAGAAGTTGAAATGAATGATGCACTCCTGTCTCTCCTGGACGTCTGGGGCATGGTGTGGCAGAGCCTCAATAGTAAGGTTTCCTGGAAGGAAGCAGGGCTATGCTTAGCAGCCCTAGTACTAAGAGTATAAGTAGATAGAAAGAACTTGAATGCCATGAAAAGAGAAGGAGGTGAATATGTGCAGTGGCTTCATGTAGCACTGGAGTTTGGAGCCAAGTCACAGGTTCTTAGAATCACTATAAATAAGATTAAGTGTATTTCCCTCTTTTCTAAGGGACAGGGACAGGTATTAGGAAAGGTTAATAGAAATGCACCATTGACGTAAAGTTCACAGGTAAGCTTTGAAGGATAATTGGTTGGTTGTTAACTTATTCTAACTCCTATTCTTCTACCTCCTCCTTCTAAATTACCAGGGTCTGTGGCTTGTGAGTGGGACTAAGACTGTAAACTGACTGCAGACTTCAGGGGAGGAAAACATTTTGTTCTACCAGTAAATACCAAAGTTTTCTATAGTGAAAGCAAAACACATGTCAACTTGTCTTTTATTTTTAAACTTGACTCCCCTTTGTCCAGGGAGTAGGTTTTATCCATCTTTGTATTCCTTTATCATCCCATACACTGTTGATACTCCCCAAACGGTGGCAGACTTTAGAAAAGCGTAATTCAAACAAATAGCTTAGTGGAAGGAGCTGAGTTAGAAGTCAGGATACTTTGGTTTTACTCTTGAAGCTCTTAGTATTTGGTTTTACTCGTGAAGCTGCTAGTATTTTTGTGATCCTAAACCTATTATTTCAAGTCTGGCTCTTAATTTTTGCATTTTTTTTAAAGAAAAGTCTAATGCAGGCATTGCATTAGACTATTTAAGTCCATGCCTATATTAAAAGTCTGCTTTGGGCCAGCAGGTGGCATGGTGATTAAGGTGCTGGATTCCCACATGGTTGACCCTGGTTCGAGTCCTGGACCTGGTGGCTTGAAGATCATGCTGGGTTCATGTATGTGCATGCCCAAAATCCTGAGAGGAGAATAGAGGAGAAGGGATTGGAGTGTGGCCATTCTCCTCCCTGAGGGGTGATTTCTCACTTTCCCTATCTCTTTCTCTCTGTCCCTCTCCTGTGAGCACATATGCCTTTTGACAAAAATTTTTTTTTAAAAAAAGTCTATTTTAAAATAAAGATGATTAGACAATTTATACTACAAATACATGAGCAAAATCTTGCTGTAAATCCTGTACCAATCTATTAGTTCTCAAAAAGTTCCCTGTTTTAAGGATGTGTTCTTTTGTGCCCATATTCAACAAAACCAAACAGATTTGTGTAGAAGGTTTGGAGAGTACAGAAGTATAATGTGGCCAAAAATGTTCTGAATCCCATCACTCAGAGGCAATCATTGTTAGTGTGTGGGTAGATCTTTAGTCTCTCTTCCTCTTTTGCCTTATACAGTTGGTTGAGATAAAGAAAGACTTTTAATTTTAAGTAATGATCTGAATTAATCTGTGCCTTCATCTTTGAGTATATGGTGTCTTGAAAACAGGACACACAAATATGTGCACTGAATGGTTTCTTGAACATTGTTGGAATGAAATCTAAAGTGAAGGGCTGGATACATGGAGAAACAGGACAAAGAGTAATAATAATGAAGCCACTGAAGCTCAGCAACAAATACAGGAAAAAACATGTTACAAATTAAAAATTAAATATTAACTGTTTTATTAAAGCATTTGCAATTGCAGAGTATTACTCAGCATTTGATATATATATATTTTTTTTGAGAGGTTTTTGCTATAGGGCATATGCGCTCACCAGACAGAGAGAGACAGAGAACAGAAGTATAATGTGGCCAAAAATGTTCTGAATCCCATCACTCAGAGGCAATCATTGTTAGTGTGTGGGTAGATCTTTAGTCTCTCTTCCTCTTTTGCCTTATACAGTTGGTTGAGATAAAGAAAGACTTTTAATTTTAAGTAATGATCTGAATTAATCTGTGCCTTCATCTTTGAGTATATGGTGTCTTGAAAACAGGACACACAAATATGTGCACTGAATGGTTTCTTGAACATTGTTGGAATGAAATCTAAAGTGAAGGGCTGGATACATGGAGAAACAGGACAAAGAGTAATAATAATGAAGCCACTGAAGCTCAGCAACAAATACAGGAAAAAACATGTTACAAATTAAAAATTAAATATTAACTGTTTTATTAAAGCATTTGCAATTGCAGAGTATTACTCAGCATTTGATATATATATATTTTTTTTGAGAGGTTTTTGCTATAGGGCATATGCGCTCACCAGACAGAGAGAGACAGAGAGATAGAAAGCGAGAAATCACCCCCCAGGAGGGATGACCACGCCACACTCTCTTCTCCTCCATTCTCCTCTCGGGATCTTGGGTACGCACACACATGTGCCCAGCGTGAGTTTTAAGCCACCGGGTCTGGGATGCGAACCACGGTCGACTACGTGGGAGTCCAGTGACATAGCCTTTACGCTAACTGCTGGTCCCAGTATTTGGTATATTTTGAGATTAGGGTGGTATTTTACCATCACCCTCTCCCATCCCACAACATTTGATTCCTCCTTCACTACCTAATGTAAGCTTCTCTTCTTTAAATTCTCTCCTGTTGATAATTTTACTCTGTTCCCAGCTTTTACTTCCACTCATACCATTAGAAAGGTAAGATGGCCTTGATGAGCCCAAGATCTGTGCCAATCTTCATGGGTTACTCAAAGTGCTCCATTTTCCTCCTCACTTTCTGATAGAGAACTTCATTATAATCTCATTTAGTCTTCCTAATAACCTCTTAAGAATAATAGTTTAATTATTCATATCTTTATGGATATGAAATTCGAGCTCTAAAGAATTTAAAGAACTTGTTCAAGACCACACTGTCTGTAAGTAGTGGGGATGGGCTCATGTCTAGATTTTTTCACTTCAGACTTTTTGGATTTGATGGAACTTATGTTGACAAAAGCTACTACCCTGGCAAAGCAAGTAGTCAGAGACAAGGAAGGAAGGGTTATAAGTGGGTGTTGTACACATGCTGATGCCAGGTAGGCCGGGATCAACAGCAGGCCCCAGGCAAATACACATCTCATTATTGAGTAGGGGTCCGTCTGCTCTGGTTTGTTAGTCTTGTAATCAGTGATCAGTGGGGGCATGTTAGCAGATGAAAGGGTGGAGAATGAAAAGGGTGTAGTTTCTGGAAAACACCTGAGATTGATAGTATTTGCTTTTGGTAAAGAGATGTTTTTATGACTGAAAATGTAAGTGGAAAAGTTACTGTGGAGGTTTGGGAAAAGCAATAGACCATGAAACACGAGGTACTTTTAGGTACAGTCACATTTGACCTTTCACTGCTGAACTTGTTTTGGGGTAAAGCACATTTTGTTTAAAATGTTAAAAGCTCTAAGGAACTAAGCTCCAGATTTTTTTTTTTTTTTTTGAGAATTATTCCTTTCTAATGAATTTGAGACATGGTTAACCTTTCTCTCTGTCCTTAAAGATAGCCAGCCTATCTTCTATAACATTTTATTCCCAGCTTTTACTTGAGGGATAAATGTTGACCAAAGCTACACAGTAAGGATTTAGATAAAAAAAAAATCTGAGTTAGTCTAAGGTAGCAAATGAATATTTAAGTGTAAGCTTTGGATCATAGCGACTCTAGTTCTATGTCCCTTTTTTAAACATTATATTGTTGACCAAAGTTCTTACTCAGTTTTTGGAAACGGAAGAAAAGCTAAGTCTTTAGGCTGGACTTTGCCCTGTAATTTGCTTCACTTGCTCATGAGCTGTGATACTAGAGTCTTAGATGTTATTAATTTTCAGGCACTTGAGGAAGGGAGGAAGCAAAGTCCCAAGAGACAGGATAATCCTTGGTCATGGGGGATTTGTAACAGGAGAACCTCAGTTATGGGGCAATATAATTATGTGAAGTTATATTTCACATAGTGAAATATGATTTAATGAGCAGGAGTTGGAAGCAGCAGGTGGTTATGCTACATTTGTTGAAACTACTTAGAGATTCTGAAAATATAGACATAACTTCAGTAATGTGGGCCTTGCATGTGCATCATTCCCCTGTCAATTCTCTATGTCCCTGTCTTGCGAAAAGAATGCTAGTCATGGGCCAGCCCCATAGACTGGTGAGAAGGGGGCTGGATCCTAAACAGCTAACTGTAGTTCAAGTCCTGCATCAGAGGTTTTTAAAAAAGCATTAAGGTACTGAACTCCCACACGGTTGAGTGTGATTTGAGTCTTGGACCCAGTGGCTTGAAACTCATGCTGGGCTGTATGCATGCATGCCCAAAATCCTGAGAAGAGAATGGAAAAAGATGGGATTGTGGTGTGGCCATCCACTCTTGGAGGTTATTTCTCATTTTCCTTCTCTCTCTCTCTCTGTCTCTCTATGGTGAGCACATGCATTCTGTGGCAAAAAATATAAAAAAAAAAAACAAATGTGCATGCATGCCTCAGATACCAACAGAACGGGGAAAGTGGAGAAAGGGTTGCAGTATGACCACACCCCCTTCAGGGGTACTTTCTCCCTCTCTCTGTCTCTAGTTAGCCCTCTAGCAATTAAAACAACAAAAAGAATGCTAGCTCTGAAACATAACTTCAGTTTTGTGATGGTATTTATAGAAATTTCTTTTTTTTAACTTTTTAAATTAATTTAGGTGGAATTTCTATACACATAGGGAAAGGCATTTGAAAGTTGTATATCACCTGCAAAATGTGTCCTTTGAGTCACTATTTGTTTCTTTATTGGCAAGACAATTGTATAGCACCTACTCCTGAGCAAGTATACATTCACCTGAAGTGTGAAGTGCTGTGACATAATTTATGAATAGGGGTAAAGTGTGTCAAAATGACAGATTATATTCTCAAAGGAGGTTTACAAAATGAATCAGTTTTTCCCGATGGTTCTTTCTTTTTTCTTTTTTTGTTTGGAGAGGGTTTTTGCTATAGGGCGTGTGCGCTCGCCAGAAAGACACAGAGAGACAGAGAGACAGAAAGCGAGAAATCTCCCCCCAGGGGAGATAGCCCTGCCACAATCCCTTCTCCTCCATTCTTCTCTCAGGATCTTGGGTATGCACGCACACGCGCCCATCATGAGTTTAAGCCACCGGATCCGGGACTCCAACCGCAGTCGACTACATGGGAGTCCAGCGACATAGCCATTACACTAACTGCTGGTCCCCCTATGGTTCTTTCTTGAACCTATTACTAAATAATTCAATTAAGCAAAAGTCAGGTATTCAGGCTGATTTATATACACTAAGTATTGGCTTCTTGGAGGGTTAGAAATTATAAATGCGGTTCCGTTATTCAAGGTGCT